GGTGGCACTAGGTAACCAGAACAAAAACATATGCCAATACAACAACTTTCACATTTACACTTCAATGACATTAATATTTTTCATATTGTGCCACCATTACTACTTTGTATTCAGTTTCCATGAGAGTTTAATTTACTTTGTCCTCTATGTCTTTTCCTCCCTCCTCTCTCTCTTCTATTCCAGAATTCAACAAGGCTTATGCAGATGTGGTCTTTCTTGCTGACACCTCTCAGGACACATCACAGGCCAGTTTCCAGTGGATGAAGAATTTCCTCTCCAGAGTGGTTGGCATGCTGGAGGTTGGCAGGAACAAGCACCAGATTGGGCTGGCTCAGTATGGCGATCAAGGTCACACTGAATTTTTGTTCAATACCTACCAGACGCAGAATGAGATGATTGTTCATATCCAGAAGCAGTTTAGGCTCCGGGGTGGCTCCAGGAGGACAGGCAAGGCTCTGCAATACCTTCGTCAGACCTTCTTCCAGGAGGCAGCAGGAAGTCGGTTTCTCCAGGGTGTTCCCCAGTATGCAGTGGTCATTACTTCGGGCAAGTCTGAAGATGAGGTCTGGGAGGCCGCACAGGCACTGAAGGAGAAAGGTGTGAAAGTCATGTCTGTGGGGATGCAGAACTTCGAAAGGAAAGAAGTAGAGGGGATGGGAACCCCATCCCTTGTATATGAGATCCAAGGAGAGGATGGACTCAGACAGATGCTGCAGGATGTGCGTATGGTGATCCAAGAGACTGGGCAGCCAGCACTAAGGACCCAGGTCAATGAGGAGGCTGCTGTAGGTAAGGTTTGTTCCATAGGATGTATGAGCCTCTGAGGGATCTTAACATAAGAAGAAGATCAGAGAAGGGGGTATTCTGGATTCCTAAGTACTGGGGCAGGAGCTCTGGTAGCATAGTGCCTAAGGCACTTGACTGCTAACCAGGAGGCTGGCGGTTCAAACCCACCAGCCACTCCTCGGAAGGAAGATTGGGCAATCTACTTCCATAGAGATACTGCCTCAGAAACCCAAGGAGGGGTCGCTATGAGTTGGGTCCACCTCCACAGCAGTGTATTGTGTTTTGCGTTAGAGTAGTTCAAATTAAGCTGCTCCATGAGAACTCTTACATCACTGACTTATAATGATAGTAAATACATGGCTCTTGAAAATTACCTTTTGGTCAATAAATCAACTCAACTGTATTCCATTGATGAAATAAGCAATATTCTGACATTGTAACTTGAGCATGTAGCATTGGATTACGTGCCTTATTCCATTATATAGTCAGTGTCTTTACTTTATTCTTTAATATATCTGTTCAGGACTCAGTACTTGAATTCAATCAACATTTATGTGCAAGGTGCCAGCTAAGATGAAGCAGGGGATTAAAGGTGAGTACTCTGTAGCTTTAGTCCAGGAAGGGCTCATAGGCAACACACCATCTAATTACAAATATATACAATATACTGGGTATAGTAGGAGTGCAGAAGGAGCTGTCTGCTGTCATTGGAGAATCTGGGAAAACCTCCCACAGGAATGGACATCTGAGCCAGGGATTAAAGGATGGATGCAGTTCTCACAGGTAGAAAAGAGGGAAAGAACATCCTTCAATGTGGTCTAGAGGAAACAACTTGGGTTTGATGTCCGCAGACCTGAGTTTTAATGATAACTTTGCCACTTCTTAGCTATGGATCATGGAAAAGCAGCAGCTTTCTTTCTTTAGGACTCATTTTTCTCATCTGCACATTGAAGATGATAACATTTTCCTAGTAGGGGATAAAATCAGATAAAACATACAAGTTCAAACACAATGTAACTGCTCAGTAAATGTTAATTTCCCTTTCCTCTTCTCTCAGTTCAATATTCTATAGTCTAATAAAACAGTAAAAAATTATTAGGAGATATATATTGGATTAAGTCATATTT